TTTTTTTTTTTTTTTTTTTTTTTTTTTTTTTTTGAATAATCATTATCATTATCATTAAAAAGCAAAAAAAAAAAACTATATATTTTTTTCTTACTGTCACTGATAAACAACAACGAAAAAAAAAAGAAAAAAAAAACGGTAAATTAAAGCAATATGAAAAAAGTTTCTTGGCAATAAAGGTTGTGAGAGGAATAGAGATGGAGTGAGGAAAAGGGAGGATAAAATTTGAACAAAAAAGATGGAAACTTAAAAAAAATTACAATTTATTCGTTTTCTAAGTTTTTTTCTGCTCTTATCGTATCGGCTTTTGTTGAAATGATTAATTACTAACTGCGAAAAAGCAGTAGTCTGTCTGTAGCAGAAAATAATGATGATGATGACGCAGTACCGAAGAAACAGAAGGAGAAGAAAAAGGCAGTAAAATTGAAGCAAATTTACTGATTTACTGAAATGTCTTAATATTGAGAAATAAAGTCTTTTTTTGCTGTTTTAAACATAACAATGAAAAACATTTGGGCTTTAATCTTTGAATCCGTTTTTTTTTCTTGTTTTTGGTTGTCTTTTGCCTTCAACGAAAAAATAGCAACAACGACACAACAACAGCAGCAGTAGCAACAACAGCAACAACAAAAACGAAGAATAATGGATAGCCTAAGTGGTTGGTGTTATTTTTGCTGTTGATCATGAATTTGTATACTAACAGGAGGAGAGCAATATAAATTTGAAAATCAAGAATGAGTGAGAACCGGAAGCAACAGTTGCAAGGTTTGGTGGGGCTAGAAGACAGGCGGAGAGCGAAGATGGGAAGGAGGAAGGTGGAGGAGGAAAAAGAGATGAGGATAGAGAAGGAAACTTATTTAACACTGATGACTTTGATATATGCTACAATACCGATTTTAAGTTATTGTTCGTACTTTAGTTGACGCATTGGGTGTACTTAGTGGTATTCCAGCGGAAAAACTTGCCGATCATTTGCATCAGCGATGGTTATCCGATGAGTGTTTCTATCGTCTTCCGGCGATGATTTTAGCACATTTATATCGGGTATGTCAACTGCGTAGTTTATTCCTTCAAACATCTTTTATTCAACAGTGTTGGTGGAATGATGAGGTGGAAAAAAAAACAACATATCATATTACCAAACTTTTTGTCTTTTCATATATTGTGCGGAAAAAATAAAGAGAATAGTGCAGCTATGTCGAGCAAACACTGCTAAGATATTTTACAAAGTTATAGAAAAGGTTTTTGCAAGTAGCTTTTTGTTTGAACAAAATATCAACAATAAAAGTGCTAAAATTTTTGTAGATAAAAATGCTACATTTGTTCAAAAATGAAAAATTTGAATAATTTTAAAGGCTTTTTATTTTTACTTTTTTGCTTTCTAATGACTACTAAAGTATAGACAGCTGTCTAATAACTTTCTTTTTTTTGCTACACGTTAATCTAGGTTGACGAATCGGACGGTACATTGATGTCATGTTGTCTGATGCATTTGTTGTCCGATTTTCGAGCTCGTGACAGCATTAGAAAAACTAGTCCTTTAATGTTCAGGTATCTATTTTTTTTACAGTCAGCAACAAGTGGAGCAATGATAAGTATTACCGGTATTTAACAAATATAAGATTTACTGAATTGATAATATAATACTTGGTGTTTCTTGGATACAGTTTTAACAGCTGCTACCAAATTTATTATGAGAAATTTAATGAAACGAGTGATGACAGAAACTTTAATCATTGTTTAAAACTTTTGGTTTTTAGTTCTGTTAACAGCAGCAACAAGAGGAGTAGAGGATTTAGACTTTTAGATTTTAAGACAGTATGCAGTTTTACAGGAATAGCGTTAAAGTTTTGGCAGAAATGTTTTCGGTGTACAGAAATTTTGATGCTGTTGTCAGCGAATGCCTAAATGTTCCGTTATTTGTATCGCTTCAGATGTTAGCTGACAAAACTGCTAGCGAAAAAGATATACAGGTAGTTTTTAAAGTTTTGTTTTTTCTTTTTTTCCAATCTTTTTAACCATAATTATCATATAATTATATTGTGCTTGGATAACATTATTTATTTAGACAGTCAACAATATGGTGTTTTACATAAATTATTTTTAACACGTAATTTTAACTATCTTTTTGTTGTCGAAGATGGCTTTTTTTTCTTCTTTTGAAAGTCTGTTTCTTTCCTTGGCTTCAAATCAGCTGGTAAACATACGGCATGACGAAGAAAACAGTTGTGTGAAGGTTCTTTGTTTGGCTAAAACTAGTCTACTTTTGTGAATTTGGTCGTCTGATCAAAATACCGTCAGTCTGACTGAGGTTAGGTGGTGTTATAAAGCTTATTTTTACCATGCCTACTGACCATCGGTAACAGCAATGACATGTTCGATCACTGTAGCCGTTGTTATGGCTGCAAACTGATGAAATGCCCATATACCATATTCGGACCGACAGCAATAACAACAGAAAAAATTGATAAAAGGCATTGAAATTTGAAAAAAAAAAAAAAAAAACCAATACTGTTATGTTGGAAATGAGGTTTTTTTTCAATTAAAAAGGGATTAAAATTGACGGACAAAAAGCTAACAGGTTTTACAGAGTTTGTTGAAAAAAGTGAATCATTGAATGTTAAGTGTTTAGGTAAAAAAAAAACTAATAATTCTGTGAACTGGTTTATGTGAAACTCGAGAACTGGACAGGCTTTGTTAACCGTTTCAGTTTTTTTTCTGTGATTCCTTTTATCTTGAGTTTTTTTATCAAAAGATTCAGAAGTTTCTTTAAAATATCTGAAAGCTGTAAGCAGTAGCATTGTTAGCTCTATAGTTGTTTATTGGAAAAATGATATTGTGCGGCGGAAGCTTCGGATTTGAACTGACGTTTAATTTTGCTGTTGAAACTAAGTCAGATTCTTTCATTTTTATTTGCACTGGAAATATTTTTATGCTTCTCTCAGTTGCTTCCCCTTCGAGAATACTGATCGAGAACGAAAATGTGAAAAATTAGAAATTCAAAACCTTTCTTCTTCTTTACACACAGTGACTGAGCAGACTGGAAAAAATTTTTCAGGAAAAGTGAAATTAATTAATTGACCATTCTTATTATTGGAATGTTCATTTACTTTTCCTGACTTCTTTTCATCATCGTCGTCGCTGTCTTCTACGTCTTCTTCTTAATCTTTTTTTGATGCCGACACTTTCTGATCGCATAAATTAATAGGAAGACAGATGATAGGAGATGGAAAAAAAATTGAAAAAGAACAAACAATTGTCTGAGGAAAAAAAGAAAAAAAATTTTTTGTTTTTGTTATTCTCTGTGAGACAACTGTCTATGTTTTAAACAGCAAAACAAACAGATGTGTAAATGTATAACTTTATCTC